TTGGTGCCAGGAGCCAAGAGCCGAGCCCCGCGGAGCCCAGGCCGAGCCGGAGCGCAGAGCGAGCGCCGCCCGCCGCACGCGCGCCTGTCCCCGCCGCTGTCCCTGCGGCCGCTGCCGCCTGCTCGGAGCACTGACATTGCTGCATTCGCGGGGTTCCAGGGAGCCCCGGAGCTGGGCCTTTATTTCTCGTCTGCTGCGCTCAGCACCGCTGCTCGCAAAGTAAGTCCCCGCGCGCTCACCTTTTCTCCGGTCTGCGCCCCCCTCCTTGCTGGAGGCTCTGGTTGAATTTTTTTCTCGGGGAGGACGCGGCGATGGTTCGAGGGGTGCAGCTTGGGGGTGGAGATGTCTGTGGGCTTTGGAAAGTGCAAATGTTCCGGGCAACCGAGGTGGAGGCGGTGAGAGAGTCAAGAGGGAAGGGGGGTGGTTATCCCGGGGTTCAGTGGTTGCAAGTGTGGGATTGGGGTAGAGTCACCCGGCCGATCTGGGGGTGCGGGCGGCCAGAGTGGCCACCGCGGTTCCGAGGAGGGGTTTCAGTCTGGGGAGGGCGCTCACCTGTGTGGTCCCCCTGCCCGCCCGCGATTCCCTCACAAACCCCAGAAATCAGTGTTCGCCGCGTGTGGCAACATTGCGCCGAGGCCGCGCGCTCCCCCTCCTACCCCTCCCGATCCCCCGCGCCCTCCCCCTCCCTGTACCCCGCCCGCACCCCGCGCCCCCCTCTGCGTCCCCCTCTACATCCCAGAGTGCCTCCACTCGCCCCGCCAAGCAAACTTGGAACTACCTCTGGAGCCCTCTGGGAAGAAACTTGGGCAGTGGGGACGCTACATCCTCTTCTTGGTCCTGGAACCCGGGCTCCACCAGGGCAGGGCAAGGAGCTGGCCCGGTCTGGAGAGTCCTCCTCCTCCTCCAGGGCATGCATGGAGAGAACCTGCCGCAGTGCCCGGAGCCACGATTGCAGTAGCGTGGCAGGAGTCAGTGCGTCCCTGACCCGAGCCGGGAGCGGGCCCAGGGGGAGGACGTCCCTGCACAGAAACCCAGGGGACCTACCCAGTGCTTCGGCGCGGCGTTCTCGCAGATGGCTTGTAGTACCTGTAATTGCATTCTTCATTTCTTTGGCACTTAGAAGGGAGAGAACTCTGCTGCCTTAAATTGCACAGCACTGTGCCACAGTTTTACGGACCAGAACATGTACACGGGACTTAATTTGTACGAAGTTATTTTGAACAGAAATTGGCAGTTGCTTACCTATATTTTACTAAAATCTACATTTTGCATCGACTTTTTCACTCAATTTTTGGCTTTTTCCCCCGCACCCTCCCCCCCAGTAGTGCACACTCAAAGCAATTTTAATGTATAGGCTATGTTTTCAAGAAGGGTTTTTTAGGATCTGAGCGGAAAAGCATGAAGTGATATATTCCTGACTTCATTTAGACTTTGTGTCTGTAATTATGAAACAAGATGAAGTAGGGAACCAGGGGCATTCTAAGGCTTTTCCTAACAGCAGTTTTGTGATTTTTTTCAAATGTTTTAAGTTAGAATCTAAGGATCATTTTTACTTAAAGAAAGGCATGTGGGGAAGACTTGATTTTTGGGGTGGGGGAGGAAGTCGGCAGAATATGATAGCATTAATACCTTCAGAATTGGTGAGTTAATCATGTTTTTAAGACAAAGCGTCCACAGATGCCCCCTGTGGCTTGAGACAGAAGTATGGTAGTTGACCTTATGCTGTTCCTTGCCTGAAATGAGATGTTTGATTAATTTCAACTCCCTGGAGAAACTATTTCTCAATTTCTACCCATAGTCAGTAGAGTTTGCTGCAGGAGTTGGGAAAAACCAAGGTCCTGCTGGTTAGATCAGTAAAGATACAGACTGAGGAACGTTTGACTTGAGAGAGCAAAGTAGAGGCACAAAAAAAAAAGGATATGGCAATGTGAAATTAACAAAGAAGGAATAGCTACTTAAACCACAAGACCTTGTGAGACAGCAGCATAGTTTGGGAGAAAGCTATTGTGTGTTGGTTTGAGGGTTCCCCCCCCCCTTTCCACTGCAAAGTCTCTAAATTAAAATCCAGCCTCTGGGTTGCTATGGGCACAGCAATGCCATTTTCTTAAATGCCTGCCCCCTTCTTTTACCTGTAATTGCATCTATCTACACATAGGTCCACACTTCTCTGATAATAGATAGCAGAGTTACATAGTCTTGGCTAACAAGGTAAAGAGAAAATAATGGGGCAGAGAGTACGAAGTGATTCTCTGGGAAATATCCTACATAAAACTTTCAGAACTTGTGTGTCAGTTTTGGATGAAATGGACTGTCTGTCAGGGACGAGTCACCTCCTCAGAAGGAGGTGGCTCTCTGTAGCTGCGTGTACATGTAGAACAGATGTGCAGCTGCACGCATGCATGCTGCTGTCTGTGCAGTTGAGACTGGAAATTTGGAGTGCCTCTAGATGTCCTCCAGCCTGTATCTTGGAATTTAGAATTGGTGGAGACCTCAGTTATGTGGGGTAACCCACAAGTGATCTGAATTCTTAACGGCCACCCGCTGCCTTCATTTTTCTTTAGGATGTTCTGAGCTGCAGACTTAACTCTGAATTGCTCAAGACTAACCCTGGGGATATAGGACAAAAGGAACCTCTGGAGGGAGGCTGGCTAATGGTGAAGGTCTTCTGAGTGTGATAAAAATCGCGTGTTTACTTATGATGTTGAGCGTATGTGGCAGCCTCTATTTGTAAATGGGGCAGGTCTTCTGTATAACGCCGGTGTTATTATTCACACCCGTAGAACAAACACCTCCACCTCCCTGTTGTTGTCTTAAAAAACTCCAGCTGCTCATGAATATAGGGTCAGGGAGGGCCGGCTAAATGTTTCTCTGTGCTTTCTCTCCAGCCCAGGCAGCAGAGCTGTTTCCTGTTCTTTGTTTCAAGGCTGGGGTTTGCGTCATACATTCCAAGTGGCATATGTGTGCTCTTTCCTGTTTCAGGCTGTTTTCTGGTAGATCAGTAGCCCAGACCAGGCCGTGGTCCCTGCCCCTCAACTCCCTATCCCCTCCCACCCTGGGAGTTATCATGTCTCTACACACTCGGGATTGCTCAAGATGCTCCTGTTATGTCATAATGACAAGTCGGTTAACCTTTTCACATACACCCTTTGCTCTAGTGCTTTTTGTGTGCTGGAATACAGACTTTTTTACCTTTTTAAACATTTTTTACATGGAAAACACTGTGATTATTAAAAACGAACAAACAAAAACACCACACCGCAAACTAATGTACAGATAGATGAAATCTAGAAGAGGTTGATTGGTTGTAGTCAAGGCTTTTCTGGTTTTGAAGGTGGGCAGGGTGTTTGTTTTGAGACAGGCATGAGGCCCTGAAGCTGTCAGTTTTGGACTGACATTACCACTTTACAGGTTAGAAGACCTGGCCTGTGAGGTTGTCCACTGGTGCTCACACATGAGGCAAGACACTTGGGAGCATGGAGCTGTTTTTGCATGGAGAATTTCAGCAGTCTTGGCACCCAGGGCTGATTTGAGTGCCCTACAGAAGAAAAGCTTTGGAAAAATTATTGAAGCAAATCATTGGAGATAGTGAGAAAAACCATGGAATTGCTTCTCTTTAAAGACAAAAATTAATGTACCATAATACTTTTTGTATAAAAAGGATAAGAGTGTTGCTATATTCAGGATCTGAGTATTTGACTGTTTTGAGAATTACAAAGCTCAAAAGGAGAACTGGAATTTAAAAAAAAAATCCGTTTACTAATAGCTTGGAAAATATCAATCTTATATTTTGAAAACAGAAGAATTTTCTTGTGTGTTTCTTGTAACAGAGACAACTATTTCCTATTCTGTGTGAATTCTCTGTTGGACATGTGTTTATGCTTTCACAGGTTAACTATTTAAAACCCATCTTAACAAATTTCTTCCTTCTTGATTCTTCAGAAACTAAGTTTTAAAGAAATAGTTAGTTGAAAAAGAAATTGGAGGCCACCTTTTTAAACTTTGTGATTTTTGTATTTCCTTTGAAATGTTAAGGGAATTCTCTGCATTGCTCTCTAAGGGAATATATTTAAAAATTGCTGCTTCAGCAAAGCAGATCCTGTACTTCCCAGGAGTGACGGTGCTGCCGTGATGGTAACCTTCATCTCCTACCACATCATTTCTTTATGGTCAAGGGAAGTGTGAAGTATGATATTAAGAAAGATACTAAAAGCAAAAGAGTAGGATATGGTTTCTTTTCCTTGGAAAATGATGAGAGTTTAGGAACACCTTTATGCATTTCCTTTGAATAAAGTGAATTTTAATATTAAACTGACCTATAGAACACGAAGCCCTTAATCTGAAATCCTTAGGTGACCCCAGTTTGAAGTAAGTCTTTTTTAAATTCCAAAGTTGCAACAATTCATCCGGATTTGGTATTGTTGATTTGACTTTCCCCTAATTCTTTCTAACTCTTTTTTTAAGGGGGCAGAGGTGGTTAGCAGGAATGATTAGAGGCTAGTATTTTCTATGGGAGAAGGGGAGTTTTGGGTGCTAAACCAAACAACTGGAGAAATTATTTTAGTCTGAGAGTTAAAATAAAAAAGGAGGGGAAAGAACAGAAATTTTATCTCTAGGTTTTATTTATTCCTAATTCAATTCCATTCTCCCTCCATCCTTCCTTTAGATACATAAACCTTCTTAATATTTTCTAATCAACTTCTTTTGGGGGGTTTTATTTTAAAATTATTTTCTTAGGTGATATTTTTACTCTCCATTTCTGGGACGATTTGTATTTAAGAAAAAAGCAAGCTCATCCTTTATATGGTAATAATGGCATTGTCTGGAGTTCAGGCTGTCTCCTGAAATGCTTCCTTTCTCATTGGCTCTTTCAAAAGCAACAACAAAAACATTGCTATCTGGTTTTGCTACTCTGTAATATTTGAGTCAGAATTCATCTTGGAGTCATTTGGAAGGGAAGGGTTATTGTCAAGTTGAGCTGTCCACTTTCTGAGACCCTAATTCTCATCTTTAGCAGTAATGCTGGAGACAGGACACCAGACAGCAGTCTGCCTTCATAAGGGAGAGCATTGTCTAAAGGACAGCAGCTCTGCTTTCCCCCCACCTCAACTCTCCTTCCTTGAAATCTAATAGTAATAAAAGAGAGGCAATAGTATGCAAAGAGTTTCTGAATCAAAAGGAAGATTCCTTTCTTTCCAGCTGTATTTATGGATATGTATTAA